AAAATATTTAAAATAATAATTGTCTCTTGTTGTCGTTGTCGACTATTGTTGGCCTTTAAAACCGACGACCATTTGATCCCAAATTATATTGGGAGACTCCTTTTGACAGTTGAGTCTAAATGTAGTAGTTGTTTCATCGAAGAATGTCCCAAAATTCACGAATCTCGATTGATTCAGACTTAAGGGGTCGAGATGAAGCGATCAATTACATTCGGGACCGAACGACCGCCATCACTGGCCATCAATGGTTGCGTCCAATGACAATGAACTGTTGATTTTAATTTTATATTAGCTTATATTAACTAATGATAAAAAAAGTCATGTCATATTAAAATAATAATAAAATAACTCAGAGTGACCAAAACAAGAGAAATATGAAAGTTTATTTAGTAAATTTAAAAATTTGAAAATTGAGTGATCAAAATAGGAAAGAGAAGATAATTGAGTGATTATATGTGTGTATTTTACCCAAAAGAAAAGAAAAGTAGGGTGAATGTTAAAAGATTAAGAAAATTTTATTTTTCCCTAAGAGAAGATAGTTTGAGTTATTATCTCATTTAAGTAATTGGATGTTAGTTGACAAATAGTTAAGAATTTGTTAGGTTTGTTGGACCATTTAATATTAGATTATAAATATTCATATCATCGTGCTACATAGTTTATGGTAATCCATTTTATTAATTTCAACTTATTAAAATTTCCTGAATTCTATTCCATTTTATTTCACTTCTATTTAGTTATAATCTTAGAGATTCTGTCGTTGACCGTTGTTACTATCGTATCATTATCGGTTATTTAACTCTGGCCACCATGTCCACTTTTTGACATTCTCTTTATAAAAATCTCATCAGCTTTCTCACACTTATTTTTTTAAGAATATTCCTTTTCATTAATTTTGTTATATGTAAGTAGAGAAGATTGGCCTTAACTTGAATTTGGATTCATATAAAGTTTGGGTGAAAATCACAATGCTCTTATAATTTAGAAAGAAAAATAAAAGGAAAAGGTCAATAATTGTTATTGTGTGTAGCAAGGTCTTGTGTTGCTATCAAGCTCAGTTAAAATAAAAGGCATACATCTTTAATTGTGGCTATGCTAAGTGCTAAAACAAAAGTGTGTTGAAGTTGGTTTGAGTGTTGTTTTCAGGATTCCCATCTATTTGGAAGTGAGCGAGAGGTAGGCTTTTTATCCTTTCTTATGGATCAAACTAATTATACATTTACAGCCTTTATTTTATCCCATACTATTCCCAGTTTCCCCTATAATTTATATACTATTTCTATAAATTTAGAGTCAATCTGGATCAAACTAATAGTATAATTTATATAGAAAAGTTATATAATTATCTTATATTGATTTTGATGGAAGATTTTTCATCCTAAATCTGAACATACCTTATCCTTTACAAGATTCAATAAAATCTGATTTTTCTATATATAAAAAAAAACTCTATCTTATATTTTGGGCAAATGACCAATTCGGATAGTGGATCATTAGAGAATTATGAGTCGACCAACATAATCAAGTTTCAAGTTCATCGGACTGTGGACCATAGAGATCAAAATATGAAGATATCGAAGAGTTCATCTTTGATTTAGGAAGATTGAGGCATTTCTCGAGAAAACGGAGACCTTACTCGTATTCAGAGTGTGGAAAATATGAGGGATTGAAAGTTTGGACTTCATCAGCCGACGAAAGAGACAACTGACATGCTCGTCGTTAAGTTTTTAGTGGCATAGTACCAAAATAAAATAAAAAATAAACGTAAGCATTTTTTTAAAAAGAATAAAAATTTAAGTATTCAAACAAATCAAAATTAATAATTTAGATATTAAATATGTAACTTATAAAAAAAAACTTTATATGGTTAAGGGAGATAGTGTCTAGATCACAAGATTTTTGGCAGGATCTTCTCAGACAAGTGACAAAGACACGTCCCTAGCTGAATCACTATTCTCACACCGTGCAATACCAAATAATCCTATTCAGATATTTCGCAATTCCATGAAGTTTCATATCGGATTAATATCACCTCAGAATTTTTCTGATTGATTTTTCTTTAAAAAAAATAAAATAAGTATAATAAAAAAATATAAATCAAGCGATTTTAATAATTAAAAGATTATTATTATCTCAAACATAATATCTATATGAATGTATAAATATTTATTATTAAACGATTAAAAATTTTACGAATATATATTATTTTATATTTATCTTAGATTATATATATAAAATGCGTGTTAAGAGTTCAATTTAAAAATAATAGTTTTAAGATTTAAATAGTATATTTTTTATATAAAAATATAAAATTGAATATATATATATATATACATATATATTGTATAAAAAATATGAACAAAGTATATTATAAATTAGGACAAAAAATCTTATGTGAAAGCATAATATGTTGATAAATCAATAATATTTTTAAATAAAACAATACACTGACCCATTAAATTAATTGAGTAATTTAAATTAATTTAACATTTTATTTATTTAAAAGTAATAGTAGATATTTTAAAATTAAAAATGTTAGGATATTTAAAAATTTTAATTAAAAAGAATAAGCATGTTAGGTTATTTTGAAATTTAAAATTATCTTTTTGCGTGAGATAGGATAAAGTTCAAATAATAATAAATATTAGAATAACTTATTTATTTTAATAAAAAATAATACATGATAATTTTAATTTCTAAAATTTATTTTAAAAATAATTTTTATGCAATAATGTATATAAACAACATTATTTTTGTATAATATTTTTTTAACAATTTTTAAGGGAAAGAGAATTTTATTCTTAATGAATGATGAATTTATTATTTAAAAATATGTAAGGTGTTAACTGAAAGCTTTTAATCACCCGATCCAAAATTATTCACTTTTATGGTTCATCTAATGTTTCTTGATATCTTGAGTATATTATAATAAACAAATAAGTATGATATCACATATCAACTTATTCGAGTATTTTCATGCATTTCTAGTCTCATTCAATCAAGTGGCTTAAAATATTGATCTTATTATGTAGGAATGACAAATCCTATATTGATAAACCATATCCACTATATGGATCGTGATATATCCAACTTCAATCTTTACGTTACAATTAGTTACGGTGAACGTTTGATTATATCAAAATATATGAATCAATATATTGAGATAATGATGATCTCTAGTCTGAAAATCATATACATAGTTATCCCTATAAGTGATGTTGTGACTATTAATTTCATAATAGTCCAAGAAAAATATTCATAGCGGATTAGTCCAATATGTTATTCTCTAACACGTACTCATGTATTGATTTTGACTTTCCTATATCAGTGACAAAACTTTGTCATCAATAAACTTCATATTAATGTTGGTGTAGTTTTGTCAAAACCCACAATAACATTTAACTAAAGACCTTTTAAGAATAACTATATTATTCTTAGGACTTAATTATAAAATAATTTATTTGTATACACAAATAATATCAATAACATTTATTTGTCACCTAATTTTACGCAATCTTATTTATTTATTAAACTAATAACGTCTTTCAGAGATAAATTTTCATGGCTAAAACTGCACCTAGATACTCTAAAAAACATAATATCAAATCTATTATGAGGTTTGTGACCGATTACTTGTCTGATAACACTTCATAGATTTCTCTGTAAGGAACCAGAAACTCCACTCAATAATGAGCAAATTTTCAGTTAAATTAAAAAGCAAATGTTAGCTAGCAGGCCATTTCCTGATTCACTAAAACGTCCTATATGAGCTTGGGTCGAGGGAAACATACAACACTGAATCACTATACTTTATGCAAAAAAGAATAAAAATAGAAATGCAAACCAAAGGGGGTCAAATTGCAAAACCATATGCAAGATGATATGACAAACATTGTAGGAAGGGATGGATGAGGAGAGCGCCTTTAAAAATTTTAAATTTTTATATATTTTAGATATTTTCTTTATATTTTTTTTATTGATAGTCACTTTCGACTCATCCTAAAATTTTATAAATTCATTTTCTATAATATAAAATTTTATGTTCGTTCCAATATATGGAAATAGTCATAAGTTTGTCCCTGTGGGGAACTGGTCTAATTTGTCTTTACTGACGGCATCACGAGGGGCACTAGCAATCAAATTTCATCACATTTACACATCCTGTTTTGTGGAAGGCAAAGGTAGCCATCGATCACTAAAGTCTATGAAACAAAATAAAATTCCAATTTAAACTAAAAAAAATAATGAAATAATTGTTGTTGGGTTTGTCATAATGGAATTCAATGAGCACAAATTCGACAAAAGGAATGGCCGGCTGAGACAGCTTCCTTAACCTATTCTTCACCCTCTTTTATAAATACAGCCACTACGTTTAGTAGACGAGGGAAAGTGAAGACTGAAAGAGAGGAGGAATAATTAGCAATTGCCCAATTTAGCTTATGAAAGCCAAAGTTATTAGTTAAAATACGAGATTTAAATAACCATCATAACCAGATATTTTTATTTTAAAATTTGGCACGAATTAAACAAGTTTAGTGGTTAAAGAATAATTGTTATCTTTAGAGATTTTCGATTCGAGCTTAATGTTTACAGGGGTATTTGAGTATTCATTGTCAGATGATTGAGAATATTTCGAATAAATACTATCTTGTAGTTTGTTCAGATTAATAAAATAAATTAAAATTTGAATAATTTGTTTTTATCCATGAGGTACATGTCTTGTCTAGCGGCGGATCTACAAAAGCATGAGAGTGGGTAGATGTCCACGTTGAAATTCGAATTTTCTTCAGATAATTATCTATTTTAATGATTGTATCCACCTAAAATTTTATTTGTAATCATATGTACAAAAATTCTATGTTATTAGTATACACTTATATCCATTTTTAAAAATAATTTTAGATCTGCTATTGTTATTATCTGTTGACCCTGGTTACTCAAATCACTATAAAAGCTAAAGTGCTAAAACCTTTGGTACATGGAACTTTTAAGTATTTTGGCTGCATGTATGGGTTGAAGGATAAATCATTCAATATGGTCCTTTCCTTTGCTATATATAGGCTTCTAGTTAATCTCAAGTTTTCCTCCATCTCTCTCAACACATTAAAAGCACAAAGGAAATTTGTGTAGATTTCCTTCTCCCCAAGTTCAACACCTCATATCTGCAACCGGATAAAACCCTAGCTCTTCAATTTTTCATCTACCAATACCAGCCATACAAAGTCAAGCAAACATCAGTTCAACAAATTCAACAGGGTCATCAATATCTTCCATGCACGTTGGTTCGAGTTCAACAAAACCCTAATTAATTACCCCATTTTATTAGCTTATTTAATCTAAGTTTACCTTTTCATCAAAACCTCATGAAAACTGAGGTAAGAGGAAACGGTGCATCCATTTCCCTTCAAAACCCTAGCTTTTTCAACCCCTCTCAGGGTTCCATAACCGGAGCACTGACAGGATGCCTCGGTAGTCTTGACGGAGCATGCATAGAGAAGCTTTTACTTCACTGCGCCAGTGCCCTTGAGAACAACGATGTGACTTTGGCTCAGCAAGTCATGTGGGTGCTCAACAACGTCGCTTCCTACATGGGCGACACGAACCAGAGGCTCACCTCATGGTTCTTGAGAGCGCTCATCTCTAGGGCGTCTAGGGTTTGCCCCACGGCCATGAATTTCAATGGCGGAAGCATGTTTCAGAGAAGGCTAATCACTGTCACTGAGCTAGCCGGGTATGTCGATTTAATCCCTTGGCATCGTTTTGGGTTTTGTGTATCGAACAGTGCCATTTTCAAGGCGGTTGAAGGATGCACGAGAGTTCATATATTAGATTTCAGCATCACTCACTGTATGCAGTGGCCGACTCTAATAGACGCCCTGGCTAAGCGGCCGGAAGGGCCTCCGTCGCTTCGAATCACGGTGCCCTCTTGCAGGCCACAAGTTCCCCCTTTGCTTAACGTGTCGAAAGAGGAAGTCGGTCTCCGTTTGGCGAATTTCGCCAAGTTCAGGGACGTACCTTTCGAGTTCCATGTCAAAGATGACCCTTGCTTCTCCAATGAATCCTTTGCTGTTAAGTTTGAATCACTGTTGACTCAGTTGACTAGTTCCGAGCTAGACCTTAGGGAGGATGAAGCTTTGGTCATAAACTGTCAAAACTGGCTACGCTATTTGTCTGACGAGACAAAACTGAACACTGCTCACGGTTTTTCACTGCGAGATGCTTTCCTTGACACAATCAAAGGCCTTAATCCTCGTATTACAGTTGTGGTCGACGAGGATTCTGATTTAAGCGCACCAAGCCTAAGTTCGAGAATCACAACATGCTTCAATTATCTATGGATACCCTTTGACGCATTGGAGACATTCTTGCCCAAAGATAGTTCCCAAAGGCTTGAGTACGAATCCGATATCGGTCACAAGATCGAGAACATCATCAGTTTCGAAGGGTCCCAAAGGATGGAGAGGCTAGAATCAGGCACAAAATTGTCACAAAGGATGAAAAATGCAGGTTTCTTCAGCCTCCCATTTTGTGAAGACACCATTAATGAAGTTAAATCGCTACTAGATGAACATGCAAGTGGATGGGGCATGAAGGGAGAGGAAGATATGGTGGTTCTCACATGGAAAGGTCACAACTCAGTGTTTGCCACGGCCTGGGCCTCGAATGAGTTGGAGGATTGAGACACCATTATTGGGTGTGGTAAACGTCAGTGGTCCAGTTGAACCAGCGGGGACAAAACAAGGTGCTGCTTCTCTCGTTGTCGAAAGGCTGAAAATGGGCAAAAGACAAAGAAAAACCGCAGAATTTTGAGGATAAAATCATGCACCATACCATTACCATTCATCTTTATAAATTAGGCGACTTTAGATAGCTTTTGTGTTTGGTTCAGATAAATGCAAGGAGAGAAATGTACAAATATAATATATATAATTTGTCTTTGTATGAGGCAAAAACCTGCTCCTGTTTTGTTTTAATAGAATCTCATGTGCCTGTTGCTTCACAGTAGCAGCACCCAACTACCGGTTTCTAATTAGTTCAGTTTTCTATTCTTGGATAAAATTATAAAATAAGGTTACAAAATAAGGATAAAGTCACAAAATTTTAAACTTTGTTATAAAATTAATATTAAGTTGTTAGTTGTTAATAAATGATAACGTGACACACGAGTAATATCTCATGTGATTCATCAACTGTAACTAAAATTCTATTTTGGTACTTTTTTAATATACACCAGAATACTTTAAAAAAAGTTAAGAAAACAAATCTTTTAAAAATATATGCAATTTCATAATTTATTTTAAAATTATAAACTATCTTTACAAAATATAAAATTTTGGTTTAATGATATCTGAGACCCTCAAACTTTTCTAAAAAGTTCAATGTGACTCTTGAACTTTTTCTACACTCAATATGACCCTTGAACTAAGGGGAAAAAATAAATTGACCCTTTGGCAAATGAAACCGATTGTTAACCGTTATGATATTATTGTGGTAGTTCGCGATGGATAATAATGTGGTAAAGGGATAAAGTGGGTTTTTAGTCGAGTTCAATGGTCAAATTGATTTTTGTAAAAAGTTTGAGTGCTTATTTAAATTATTTAAAATTTAAAATATAACAATCAAATATTCAAAAATAACTATAATAATAATAATAATTACTAAAAATTTAAAATATTAAAATTATTATTAAAAAATTAAAAATATATTACAAACTATAAATAATGAATTAAAATTTAAAATATTAAAAAAACATATATTATACTTAATATATTTTTTGATTAAATTATATTTAATATATACATATAACATATAGGCACAAAAATAAATTAATCATATTTATCAAAATAACAAATACAATATGCTTTTAATTTCATGTATACATCAACCATCACTAAAATCTCATACACTTTTTGTAGCATATATGTACGTATACTAAATATGATTTCATTATGATACAATCATATAATCAACACTTATATAAAAGTATTCTTATTAGATTAGTTGAGACTTACGAATTTTTAATATAAACATAGTTAAGAAACTTCTTAAGTTATTCGTAGATGTACGCACATCTAACCATATTTCATACAATTTTAAGTGTTGTATACTAGCTTATTATAAAATGTACAAGGGCTTGCGAATAGCCCTTAGAATTTTTCGAAATATAACTGGATGTTTGTATTGATGCGAATAACTTATGATATTTTCTATCTATATTTAGATACAAAATTTTTACGTCTCAACTAATCCAATAAGAATAATTTATATAAATTTTGAGGATATGAGGTAAAGATATCATGTTTTGTATACCCTTAGAAATCCTTTGAAATTAAGAAAAATAATTATTTTTCAAATTGAGGTATTTTTTATATTCATTTTAAAATTATGTTTGATACATGATTCTCTTTTAATAATATCATTTTTAAAATTTATATTTATTTTTTTATAGAATGTAATATACTTTATAATTATATCAAATATCCATTGGTAATTCAACATAATTTTCAGTCGTACTAAATTACTAGTAAATAAATAAAAAAGACCTGGGCTGGTTGAACGGGGTAAAACGGGCAAAATCGACCCAACAAGGTATATGAGTTTTTTTATTTAGCCCATTAGAGCAAGTTAATATTTATTTTAATATTTATGGTTTTTTTTATAGTGACATAGAACTCGTCACGTCGAGATAACGAATTCTAATAAAAAAATATTTTTTATTTTAAATTTTTACCTCAATATGATAGATTTTAATAAAAAAATTATATTTTATTCAAACTCATCACCTCGATATGACGAGTTCCAATAGCACAGTAAAAAATATCATAGATTTCAAAATAAATTTTGACTTGCTCGAATGAGCTAAATAAAAAAACCCGTTATATTGGGCTAAATCAGCCGGTAAAACGAATTTCATTGGGCCACAACCTGATTGATAAATTGTCCTTTAATTGGATTTTTATTCTTCCAGGGTGCTTGTCAGTTGCCACCGTGGTTTTTTTGGGGCATAAAAAAAGATCATTTTTGTTTAGCTGTAAAGCTGGATTATACAGCATCTAATAAAGCGTTTGGTGAATTATTTGTGGATTGTTTATATAATATTTGTTTATATTTATTTAATAAATTAAACAAATAAATTTTAAAAAATTATGTTTAATTAGTAAATGAATGAACATGAAGAAATGTGTGTTTAATTCGTTTATACTAACGAATAAGCTCGTTTTAAAGTTTATTTATAAGTTTGTTTTTCGACTCGTTTATAAGTTCATTTACCTAATTTTTTAAAAAATATATTTTTTAATTTATAAAATATTGGTGAAGGTTGTGACTAAATGCACATATGATAAATTTTGAAGTTTATATTGTGAAGCCTAAGGAGCTTAAGAACTATTAGTCGAATATTCATGAACTCTAAATAAATATGTTGACGAATATATAAATAAGCAGGTTGACGAATATACACACGAATATTTTTGTGAACTCTACATAAATTGAAAACGAATACCTTCAAAAATAAACTAATAAATATAAACATAAATTAATTATAAATATGTTATAAATAAATAAACAAACACAATCATAGTTATATCTTCTAAACTTAGTTGATTTACAGCCTACTTGCATCATCCTCGTGAAAAGAAAACAATGCAATCGGATACGAGTGAGCCCCAAATTCAACAAACATGGTAAATCGGAAACCACATATGAAATTATGAATCATGTGCGACCGTCAAAACTTTCCATTTTGGTATTCTCACTCTTGCATGAAGTGGGATAGATGGTAAATTATTTGAGTTTGATTTAGTTAAAACTTGATTAATATTTAATTGAATGGATTTGATTCAATTTTTTTATAAGTCGAAACGAGTTATTTGATAATTAATTTGAAAAACTTGTGAATAACTTAAAAAATTAACATATTAAATTTTCAATTTTTAAATTAAAATTGTTAATAATATTAACATTTATATATTATTTCTCTTAAATATAGTACAAGGTTTTCATATACGAAAGATTGGAGCTCAAGTTTAGGCTTGAATTGAACTCGAATTTGAGTTTTAATTAAGCTAAGTCTAAGAATGTTTCGAGTTTTAATTTTTTTTGATCTCGATTAAAACTTTAATTTTTTTTATTTCAAGTTCAAGTTTGATAACTTTAAGCTCGTGAAATTTTGAGTCGGATATCAAGTAGCTCATGAGTTTTTTTTAATATATAAGCTCACGAGTTTTCGAATGAAGTCGAACTTTACTTTCTAACTTTGAATTCAAGTTGAACTTAATAATTTTAAGTCAATGATTTTAAGATTCAAGTCGAGCTCAACTTTAAACTTTTTCAATCGAATTAAGCTCGATAATATTCAAGCTCTACTTGATTTATTTACATTCCTACTCTATCACGTGTTCCATTGCTTCAAAGTTCGCACATTGTGCCAACCCCAAACCCATTCATCGATCTCGTTTAACAAGGCAACCCATAAGCTTCACACCAACATCTACAAATAACAAGTGCATAGTTTCGTACGCGAAGGACATGTCTTGGAATATTTGAGTTGTCTATCATGGTAATAACCATAATTTGTAATGTTTTTTACACAGAGTTTGAGAATTATATTAAAAATCCACATTGATTAAAAAATATATTAAAAATTCATCTACAAAATGTTCCCTTGAACATGCGTGCACTCTACCACTGCCTGTGAACTGGAGCCACAGTCAATAATTTAATATTTCTTCTTTGTTTTCATTGATTATCTGACAAATTGGATGCCCATTTTTTCTTCTATGAGCAAATAGATCCCCACAATCATTACTACTCTACTTCTGTAAGCACAACTTCTCTGCCACACTTCAAATATTTTATTTCTATTTTTATTATATAGTTTTGAAATTCAATGGAACGACTAACTACATTAAATGAATATTTACTTGTTTACTTTTTATGTGTACATGGAGTTGGTGGTGAATTTAATTTGAATAACCCAGCATAGGTGCTTTTACGATAACGTGGTTATATACATGAAAAAGACTTCACGTACGAGCTATCGTTTCATATATCTCTCCAAATATTTGATCTTCTATATATACGGAAGATTTTATGTTGAAAAAACAAAATTAAAAAATATTAGAGATGAAAAAATAAAAATAAATTATTAATAAATAATAAAAATTTAATTTTTTTTATAAAGACGGCTATCACTCGTCATTTCCTTAATCTAATATAATCTACGGATTTCGTATCATTGGAGATAAAAATCACTATTTATATATTTATCAATATAATATTTTAAGATGTATGATCATCATATTAATCTTAATTATATTTAAAATAAAATTAAGTTGAAATCTTATAAAGATATAAGATAAACAAGTTAAACTCGAGTAAAAAAATTTAATTGTTGCTGATGATACACACAAGTAACACATACAAAGAGTTAAAATCTTATAAAAAATATAACATATGAGAGTTGAACCGGAGTTAAAACAATTCAATTATTATAGATGATACACATGAATAACACATATAAAGATGACCATAAGGGTACGGCGTTTTTCCCAAAAAATCAACGATGACCGATATATTTATCGATCTAACATCAGTCATGCTATATTTTTCGATCTAACACCCTTTGCAGTAAGGCGCGCCTCCTGCAGCGCGCTATACGCTGATTTGGCGTCACGTGGGTAAG